ATATTCTCTAAGAACCTTTAAGTAACATTGTTTAGTGTAATATTGGCTTATTTCAATTTAATTTACTACTCTTTATGTATGTTCCAATGAACATATGTTTTCAATAACTACTTAAGATATTTTAGACTAACTAGACTTTAATAATTACTAATTAAGTATACCATAGTAAATACAAGTAAATAGTAAGTGAGAAAGTATTCCTAAAAGCTTAAAGAAATACAGGTATTTATCGGTTAATGTTTAGTTTTAATGATTACTAATGTATAAAGTGTGTTAATAATTATGTGACTGGTATCTCTAAACTGAAATGGATGAAGAAAGTTCGTGAATAGCAATAATCTATGATACACAAGCCTTATTACTTTAACGAATAAAGAAAGAATAACTTGATTAAACTTAAAGTTAAAATATACAAGGAAGAAGTAAAAAAAACACAATACTACTTATGTATGAATTTGTTCAAGGATAGGAAAAAGTCATATATTTTGTAATATATTATCAAACAAACAAAAGATTTTATGGAATGGATAGATATAATGCATATAGTTTTAATTGAGATAACTTCATTTGAATATGCCATCCAGTGCTTTTAGATTTTCCGCGGTGGTCTAGCTTCAATTGACTCATGATCTCAACTATTGAAATTAGTACATATTCACAAAACTCCTTCTGATATGAATATGCTTATGAATGAAGTTCACATGTTCCATGTTTATTTCATCAAATAAACTTGATGAACGAAATAAAGTTGAATGATTTCAATGGTGTTTTATAAATGTGATTGAGAACTTTAGTTATACATCACAGATTAACCTTAATTATACAACAGTCAAAAAACCAGACAGGACTGGGCATTTGTTTCACCTTAGTATAGGACTCTTCAATATTATTTATTCATTACTGCTAAATAAGAGTAGAATTAAGAACCTTCAGAGCTGAAGATCAAAATGTAATCTTTAGATTACTGGATCACCACCCAATAGCTTTCATTTCTAACTTCAGTTAATACGTTATATTTAGAAAACATTATGCATCGTCATTACTAATATTTCTCTCATAGCCGATGTGAATGAATTTCATTTGTCACGGCTCTTCACTAAAATATCTGAGTTATTATTAACTAGGTGTTTCATATTTATTAAACTGTTACATATTAAATTTTATTTTGAAGGTAGTGAATTGTATGAACACAAATAGTTAGTAAGCTGTTTAATCGTCAATAAATGTTTACTTAATGTTTTCATAGAAAAATCATTAAACTATTGGGTAGTTTAGTCATAATTCATTTATTATTGATTTCCAATTCAATGTATGGTCACTTTATCATTAAAATAAACAAATTATCATGTATATGAATTATCGTTTGTTACTTTATGAAATATGGGTTGGTGAAAATACTCTTCCAAATATCCAGAAAGTTGCGTTCACCAAAAAAGCTCGAAGAGAAATACACTGTAATAAATAATTATCTTTAGTAAACGGATATCCTAAGCCAATTGTGAAAAAATATAGTCCCGATTAGTGAAGTAAAACAAAAGAATACTAGAATAAAAGTTTTTATTCGATTGTCATTTAAAGGTGATCAAATGATGAATAAAATCAATTAAACACTATAAGCAGCTTTATAAAGTACATTCTGAGCTGCGAAGTTCATCTCACTATACATAACACTATGATCAATAATCAAAACTAAAGTAGACAAATATCTATTAAATGTAACCCCTAACTGCATTCATCAATTTGCATGTATATACAAAACCACATATATTAGAGGGACAACGAATAGGCTTTTACTCGATTAAATGGAGATATTTCAAAATATCCTACACCTTCGAGGAGAAGTCTAATCACATAAGTCGATAGTACGTTACCTACCAAACACGGGATATGACGTGAATCCAATGAACTCGTTTAAAGTTATTTATAAACAATATAATTCCATGTTATTAAAACTCAAAAAAATCATAGTAACAAGAAGGCTTAAAATTAACCTTTGTATTCCAAAAAAAGTCTGTAGTTAACTATCAACAGCCTAAATAACATTTTAATATCTATTTTCCTCTCAATGAATTGTAATTATAATTTGATCAATTCACATCACAAATCTTCTTTTTATTTAAACGTCTGAAATTTTGTTATGATACACAATATAATTATCTTAATATTCAAAAACTGTTACCTAAAGTAATTATGAAAAGAACCCCACAAATGAATTCTGAAATTATTTCCAATGCGTAAATTCAAACCCCCTTTATGTGTTCAAAAACAGTTTGTTCTTACCTTAAACCTACCCTGGTAATATTGACTTATTATCCAGAGTGATTAGGTTTCGCTTTGTGTTCACATTATTATTATTATTACTCTTATCATTATCCTTATCTCCTCTTACCCGTTTCCTGTCTAGTTGACCTTTTATTTTTATATATAAATGCTCTTAGCAAGTATATGTGTGACCAGATTGTTCGAAATGTATTGCGCTAATATATCATATAGTTCTGATAATCTTCGTCTTCTAATATGATTATCGAAATTTCCAATGCTGTTGTCATATTGTTGTATGTGCTACTGATGTTGACAAATATAAGTAGTATGTACCAATCGAAAGTAAAATACATGGAGATAGAAGGTGAAGAAGACCAAAGAAAAGAGAACGGGAACAGAGAATGATTCATGTGGAAATGAATGAACAATGAAGTCTGAGACAATTGATTAACATTTTGCAGAGGAAACAGTCAAGTTTGAGACAATTGTTTGACATTTCGAAAATAAAGAATTCGCTGTATATTTCTCAAATTTTATTAAGACATTTTATGTTGAAATACATTTGGTTGTCCTTGATTGCATTCTCGTTCACAACAGTATCATCAACCGTTACATGAATGATAGATCTGAGAGTCTAGTTTATAGATCCGCACTTCGTGAATAAGCCATATTATGTTCAAGTTCGAAATGTTTTTTTGTCATTTTTGAAATTACTTTCACATTCCTGATAAAATCAGTATATTTATAATACCCCAATCAGTAGAACAATTCAATTTTCCTATGTTTTGTAGCTCTCTGTAAACCAACTCTCTAGAGAATATTTATTATTTTTATGAATATCAGTCTACTCAATGCTCAATTTATTTGAAATTTTTGAGTCAAACCCTGGTAATCATCTCTACATACTTTCAAATCATTCCTTGTGAAGCTGATTACTATAATTATTTGAATAAAGTATAAGCGTACGCTCAGTTTAATGAATACTTGTCAACTAGTCATTTAGTGTCATTATGTCCGTAACTACTCACTGTATCGTTAGTCCATTTCTCAACAGAACTTATTCAGTATACAATAGATGACTATATTTACATTAAACTATTTGACGGATCATATATGATTAGGCACTTATAAGAAGTGAAAGGGAACAAAAATACTCAATTCTATTATTTCATTGACATTTTCATTCATGGCAAGAAATTCATCTATAATTAATAAGTGATAGTAATTAGTATTTTTACAACTAAATAATAATAAAATGAACAATATAATTAGGGTTTACTTATGACTTTAGTGAATACGTGAAGCTCGAATACTTGAATTAGTTCAAATATCCATGTGTAAAGAATTAATTAGCTAGTATATCTACCAAATTAAGGTATAACAAATTATTAAGTGGTGTTTTCATTTCTCTCTGTGCATCCCAATTATTTTGAGAATAAGTTTACATTATTTATGTGTACATTCAAATAAAAACATTTTGAACAATAATTTCATTTTTCTATATTTTTAACAAAACGCTTTTCCACATGAGCACTATCAAACTCATTGAATTAAAAATTCATTAAAATGGAAAGCTGATATAAATACTTTATTAATTCTGTAATGGACGCTACTCATAAGAAGGCTTGTATGTAGCGTGTAGCGGAACATGGTGTCAAAGTTGCAGCAACTGTCAGCCGGAGTGAAGAGTTTCAGTGCATCAAAAGCATGGCGTTCCCAAAACACTTGGAGGCCAGTCGAAAAGATAGTTGAAATTACAGAACACACCGAAAGATGCAAATGGACGATTGTAGGCTCCCTAATTATGCCTCATGTACATACTTTGTAACTTCTCACAGTTAATATACATACCTACTGCCCATTGTCTTGTTTTGAAGTTTTACTTACAAGTTAAACTGAAACAAGCCTATGAAGTAAACAATCATGTACGAACAAAGTATACTTGAATTTCCACTGTTTATTGTACTTTATATAGTGTTAACCTAATTTATTGTTTTATCCATTCAACACTCAAGCATAGTGTTTTATTTTATTCATGGTATATGTTAAAAAGAAGGCTAAACTATTCTATATTTTGAATAATTTATTGGCACCTTAAATAATTAGACACACGCCAGTGAGTAAATTCCCAATTAGGGAATTATCTGCCTATAACTTAGGATAATAGATTAATTTCCTCATGAATTTGCTTGACAGGAAACTTTTACTACTAGATTTCAGTCCTATAAAAATCGATGAGTCGTTTTCAGCACACTACCTGACGATCCAATTTTGGACCTTATGTGAACTGTTGCGGTGCTTCAAGCCTGAAGAAAAAATGTCGTACATCGCCATTTGGCTTTCAGTAGTTCTCAAATTAATTTTGATTTTTGATGTATACTATCTTCATATGGTCTATCGTTTATTCCTGCAATCACTGAAAGTAATTTTCACGTAAACTCTTTGACAGATGAAATGCATTTTCACTTTGCTGTTTTATTTGTTTGGTATAAAATGTTTGTCGTTGCACATGGAGCATAAGATGCGAATACTTAGGCTAAATTGATTTTCAGTATTCAGCTTTGACAAACTATAAACTTTTGAACAGAATGCTAAAATCAAAGTAGTTTCATTTCAGTTACCGATAATAAATCAATTGACCATGTTATCCAGATCGCTATCATTCACAAATACTTTAAACGGTATGCAAAGAAAAGATAGTAATGAGATAATTGTAGCAATGTGTATTATTGACTTACTACTACACCTGCTAGATAATTATGACGATTTAAATTACGTAGTGTGGATTTTTTTCTACCTTGTTTTGATCTAGGATGACGTGGTAATCTTTCATCATTATCATCTACTGAATCATACATTTGTTGTGCTGAATTGTATGACGGATATTTGTTGGTTTGTGCTGTAGATTGATATGACCATGTTTTATGTAGATTACGACGTCGTCTATCCGTATATTCATGTGGTGAATAGAATAATTCTGAATCATCTATTTCACTGTCATCCTCTTCTTCATTTTCTTCAGTTTCTTCATCTACATCTCCTTCTCTAATTCTATTGTCCACATTCTCATTAACATTGATTTGATTTTGAAACAGACTAAACATATCAGATAATTGTGTTGTATCATAAATACTTTCTGTAACTTGTGAAGAATACGTTGATCTTTTATAACGATTTTGATTATTCGTATCATGTATTGTATCTAAATTAGGATTATCTGTTTCTATTGGTGGAGGTAACATTACATGTACATTTGGAAAACCAAGAAATAATGATGTATATTCTTTAGCTGTACGCAAATTATCAGAACAACCAGCCCAATAAAATTTACTAACTGTTGGTTGACCATCTGTCATTGGTATATTGTTTGATTTAGATGTATCAATGGAATTCATTAAATGACCATCGGAATTATATACTAATGCATTATTATTATCATTATACAAAGTTTGTGAATGATGTTGTCTAAGTAAATTGTTATTTTTATATATATGAGATGAAGGATAATTTGGTGTAGCATAACTGCCATCTTCATCACCACAAGAACAATATCGAATTTTATTCAATGCACAATATCGTCCAATTTCAAATAATAATACAGAACTTGCAAATGCATGTACAATTGCTTGTTCACGTGTGCCTATAATAGTGATTATTTTAATATAAATAGTTACATTGTTAAAAAAGGTAGATAATATAAATGAATTAGCTATATTTTTTGCTCCTAAAATGTCACATTTACTTCAGTCAACTATGTTGCTTTGATTTAGTAGCCTGAGTTCAATTTATCTTAGTTGATGTTCTGATCCATTTGTTCAGTTATGACACTATACTGAAAGCAACACTATGTCTACAGGCTCTACAAAGAGATACAAAACAAAATAACTGATCATAGCTGTAACATTAAAAAATTAAGTAGATCTTCAAAGGGGGAGTTCGCATGTGAATTTACAGGATAATATTTGAATAATAAAGTAATTGATATATGGTCAGAATATAAATAAAAGTATTATACTTGTAATATTCCAATGAGTAGGAAAATTGGATTTTCTGATGTTTCGTGACTCATTGTAAGCCACTTCTTCAGAGAATAAATAACTAAATCAAAATTAATCCAAGTTCAAATAGTACAAAGGAACAAAGCAAAAATATTAGATGTGATCAATCAAAAAATAGGTCTGAACAAGATTTGTCATGAAACGTCAGAAGATCTAATTTTTCTACTCATTGGGATATTGCAAATATATTATTCTTATTTATAACAATCTACCCAATACCCAGTTTATTTAAAATTATCAAGTCAAACCTTGCTGTCAGATCAGTATTTTTATGATGCGATGGGATCATTAAACTAACTTAATAGTTTTATTTACTAAGTATAATGTTATTGGTGGGATATTTGACGCTTAATTAATAATTGACGATTGAAATAACCAAAGTAACTGTGACTACACGTAATTCAAAGTGGCAAAATAAGAGTTGTGTGTTATGATTGCAGTGTAAAGATCGATTTCGGGAACATTATAACGAATAGATTCATTTTGTATTGTTTGTTTGAATCTTCCCATCGTTGTCTATGACTGCAATTGATCAGTCTCTTATTGGCATATGTACAACCTGTGCGGATTGCCTTGATATTACCTTAAGTCACAAGCATTATAAGCAAAGATGGATGGTAGCTAGTAGTAGAATCCAGTAGTGAACATTAATTCTAGGATGCAGGTTCATCCACCTGACGAGTCCTAAACAGGACAAAACGCGTGTCTTGGATTCCATTGTTAACCACCATCCATCTTTGCTTATAATTATGGTGGATGTTTTACGGTTGGTGATAATAAGTTCATTTATGATTGTTAAAAGGATTAACAAACGGCAATTTGATAAATTATTCGATATGATTCAGTATGGTTAACTAACATCTTTTCAGTGAATGGAATTATTGTCGTAAGTTCCAAAATGAACCGTTATCGAACGATATTATAACTAAAAAACATAAAGGTATTATTTTCTTAAATTGACTTACTAAAACACAAAATATGAACACAAAAATAAATTTGATTCGATAGTAATCGTAAAATAAATATTCAAAAAATATCGATTTTACATATCACTCTCACACTAATGTAACTAATGTGTCTGTAATATACGAAAATAAAGACATTTTTAGGTAGATAGTTGTTATGCGACTGACAAACAGTTGTGTAAGGACTGTTTGAGGTGAAAACATCGAGCATGGTAAAGAGTGTGCTTCAACAGATTGTGCAGATTACATGTTACTTTATCACTTTAATAACTGTCGACTGGACCTTGTAAACAATATTAAACAAACAAATTGAAGTTAAGATTTCTGTAATTACTTTATATTAGGTGTTTTAAATTCTTCAGAGGTATTCTCATAGTAACTAAACGCAAGTTTTTATGAATTGTTTACGGTAAACATTTCCCTCCATAAAATTCGCTTCCTATAAAGTTGAACAGATTCCATGATAACGTTAGGATGAAGAATAAATGAGGTGTAGTTTAGTTTTAACAAGAATGTAGCTCTGATTTTTTCAGATATCCTCTGCATTATCTAATGCGTCTACTAAATGTGAACATTTTATTTGCTTCATCCCTTATTTTAGTAAGACACAAAATAAAATAATTTTCAGCTAAATTCTTATCCCATTATAAATTTTACTGACGTATGATACTTAATCCAAATCAGAGTACTTGTAGTTCACTTTACTTTTCATCATATCCGATGAGAGTTTTGTCGACATATCTCTTACATAAACCTCGTTTTTTAACTATCGATTTTTGCATAAGATTTTTTTACACTTGTTATAAACAAATCAGCTAACAGAGGATTAAACTATAACCTCGTACCAATTCCTTCTCTCTATCGATTTTTTTTACAAAAGCCTAAATATACATTTCACATTTCATTACAAGTAAGTTCTTTCAAATAAACTATAAGTTTCTCTATATTTATCCGATTCTGTTCGATACATTTGTAAGTACAAGCCATAATGTCCTATAAAAATCAGTGTATAAATAGCAAATTTATATTTAACGGCTAACATTCAATATCATCGATCTACCATTGACTTATTTCCAATTGTATTAATTTTACTTATTACAAAGTCTCAATAGAACTTCAGAAAATTCACCTTGCAGCTAGTACCATGTGAATATGTGAGTTACAGTTGAGTTGTTTATAAAAACGTTTTTTAACTTCTTCCATCGCGAGAACAAGAGTTCCTAATTTTGATTTGGTAGAATGATATATATATCGATTGCTTACAATAAAATGTTTGGAGTTACTATACAATATTAAGTTAAATATGATTCAAAACAACTGGATAAATTAGGCCTCTACGTCTTTAAATAATTCATTTTCTATCGTTGTAAGCAAAATAAAAACGAAAAATCACTGACTAGCTGTCTTCCCTGGTTGTTTGACCACAGTATGTTCAACTTAGTTTATCGATGTCAAATATTACATTTTATTAGCTAACTCATGAAAAATTAGTTTTTTAAATAAAGCTATTAGTAACGCATTATATTTACCGACAGATTGACTTTTATTTTTTTATTAAGTCATTTGATATTTCGCAAAGAATAAACACTAAATTAACGAAAATAAATTACCTCTTCTTAACTCTGGTGATACATGCGGTAATTGATGTATAGAAGTACAATTCCATCGTCTATCTGAAAATGTTTTTGGACAATGATATCCGACAGCATGTGCAGCTCTAAGTACAGCAAGCATTGCATAACCAAAACGTGGATGCATACAAAATCGTGCTTGTCTTCTACGAAGACCTAATTTATTAGCAGCTTTTTGACATTCATCTGGAGTAAATCGATCAGCTGTCGAATCCACTGGATGATCTGCACTTTTTGGTAATCTGTATATACCTCTGAAATAGTGAAGAAAAAAATGTTGAGTTAAGATTTTCTAGTGTAAACTATGTATTCAACGAAAGAAAAACTGTTAGTATATCTTTATTTATTATTAACTTCATTCTGAACATTGTCATACAAATAGGACAAAATCATAAAATTAGACAATGAATCTTTTATAAGATAATTGAATATTTCTAGCTTTAAAATATATTGCCAAGGTTTAAGTAGATTTATCTGTCTACACGTTATGAACCTGTTATTTTGTTAGAGTATTAAATAACTTTAAGGACAAGCTACTTTTTGATTGAACAACGGAGAAATCAGATACCATTTCATGAGTATATATATATATATATATATATATATATATATATATATATATATGAGTTCGCGACAGATGCTAGATATTTCAAGCCATATGGTGAGAATTAATGAAGTAACTAATACTGTAAATTTAGATTTTGTTTATAATTGTATATGATTTCAGTTAAACAATCAAGTTATATTATCATTTCTATAGAAATACAATCGACCTGGAAATGAGTCAACTTTCATAGTTTATTTCTATTATTTTTATGGAACAAAATAATGTGCCACTTACATATTGAAGGTTAAAAGTGAATTATGATATTGATAAAATAAATATTCTATAATTGTGTCGTATTTTAACAACAGTGTTTCTATTATTGAGGTCTAATTTTATAGTCAGACTTTTTCATCTATTATTACTCACAAAGAACTTAGTTTATGTTACAGATTTTACCAATAAATAAATTGGATTGGTTGAGATTAGACATTAACACCACTGGATGCCGGCTCAGTGGTTTAGTTGGTTAAGCACCTGGCGCAAGACCGGAAGGTCCAGGGTTCAAATCTCGCGGGGTGCGGGATCATGGATGCGAGTCCCGTACTAGGACGAAACGGCCGTATAGTGCTTCCAGGTTTTCCATGGTGGTCTAGCTTCAATTGACTCATGAGTTCAATCAAATGAATTCATGTCAATCAAAAGAAAATGAAAATCTGAAATATCTCAAAACAGTTTGTCTTTCACTTATAGTCTTGAAAATGTTCAGTTTATTGATCAGTCATTAAAAAGCAACTGGTATGATGACACCTAGTTCTTAGTGTTCATCGATTTCTAATCAACATTCTTACATTACTTAATTTGATTTAATTTGGTAGATTACAAAAGTTTCTGGTTTATCTGTTTCTAAATTGTACAAATTTTGTAATAAATGTTCTCATGTATTCAATCTGTTTCAATTTACTTATTACATACGGTAATTGCAATTATTCATATGCGTACAATCTAATGTGAAGCTAACTACTACGAAATTTAAGTGGAAGAACAACTCTGTTTAGTATATATATTTTTTATCTCATCTTCCATTAATAGAAATGAAAGAGGATTTCAATGTAATCGAATGTAATCAAATATATAATGGTATGAAAAGATGATGAAGATGGAGACAAATCGTTCCAAGACGTTCGTGGCTGAAGTGGGACCGAATCAAATGGTCACTGGAAAACTTTTCATATATATATATATATTTTTTTTAGACTATTTCCAAGCTGGAGATTAGAATTTTTTAACTTTGTATTTCGTGTTTAGAATTTTTTAACTCTGTCCGAACTATAGTATATCTGAAGGAAAAGAAATAAGACCACTCGAAAGCAATTTAGAAACAAACTCAATAGAACGAAACTCTAGATTCCTGGCTTTCTGTCGACTGTCTCCAAACATCTAATTTCCAAGAAATTTACAGTAAAATTCTATCCTATTACCTCGTTGAAATTTGTATAATCTGGCTGTTAGCACGATACATTTAAAGAGATAGTTGAGATTGAAAAACAATGAATATTTGAACAAATAATTGTTTTCAATAATTTCAACATTAGCCCCTACAATTATAAACTCATAATTATTTTATTTCAATAACCCACATAAGCCATGTGCAAATAAATTGTGAGTAAATTAGGCAAGCTTGTGTGTTAAATTAGTAAACTTTAGCATCGATTACGGATGAAATACGTCCAAAATGTACTGTAAATTTCGAAGGTCATTTAAGAAGAGGGTAGGAAAATTCATTGTAAGGTGTTAAGTTACAAACAGTGAGATAAAATAAGTTGTAAATAAAGTGAATAATCAGAAAAATGATATGTCCCTCAGAAACGAGAAGATACAACCTGGACCTTCTTGAATTGAGTTAAACCCATTTTACATAATCTGAAAAGCAAGAGTGACTTCAAGAGAGTTATCATTGTATGCTGGTCATGAAGAAGAAAACGTCCCACACACAGATAAAATTGAACTGATATTACCAAAAGAAGCATGAGAAACGCTTATTGAATGAAAAACTCACAGGTTGTGGATCATCAAAGTATCTCTCGAAACCAAATAGGCAAAGATTACAATTAATGACATTCAGTGCTATGGGCCCACTAATTATAGCAACGAAAATGGAAGAGATAAGTTTTATGAGACACTGAAGTTTGCCCTAGAGTAGTGCCCAGAAAAGACATGACCATCTTGATGGGGAACCTAAGTGCCTAGACAGGGATGGATAAGATTGGATACGAATCTAAAATATGTCGACATGGACTAGGAAAGAAAAGTGAGCTTGATGAGAGAGTAACGAATCTATATGATTTCGAAAAATTAGTCATAGGTGACAATATTTTCCATCACAAACCCATACAGAGGCTATATGGGTTTCGCTGGACAACACTACAGAGAATTAGATCAGTTACATTAACATGAATAAAGCATTTATAATATCCATTGAAGAAGTAAGAAAAAAGATGGGTGCTGATATAACTTCAGATCAATAACTAAGGTCAGATTGAAGCTAAGAAAGCCTAGAGCAGTTGGACAAGCAGTACTACAAATGTTTGGATACAGGCTACCGTAGTGATACTAACAAACTCAGAGAATTCAATATGGCTTTCAGTAACGGGCTCTAAGCCCCGCAAAATCTACCGAAAGAGGAAATCATTATAGTGAGAGACTGAAAAGGGATTAAATAAAAAACAACCTCAACATGCCATGAGGTGCTGGACCACAAAAAGAACCAGGATAAACAGTGGACCTCTGCTGATATCGTGGGTAAGATTCAAGAACAGTAGAACAGAAATGCAATACTCAACGACAGCTGAACGAGAGCAACGAATACCAAGAGACAGGGTCGATACATAGAAGCGAACAAGCGAGTAAAGCGGAGCATTCAAGCTGATAAGCGAAAATATGTGGAAGACCTATCAACGACAGCAGAAAAAGCTGCGAAAGAAAGAAATATGAGAGAACTTTATGATATAACGAAAACAGTAGTAGGAAGTATGGCATGTTAGAGTGACCGGTCGAGGAAAAGTGGGACAAATGTGTAGAAGACTTTGAAGGGTTATTGAATAGACCGGTACTACTGAACTCACCGGACGTCAAAATAACACATTCAGACCCTCTTATAGATATTGCCGCTCCAAAAATCTAGGAAGTCAACAAGGTCATCGGACAGAGCAATAATACAGAAGCGGTTTGACTTGTAATGTCTAGCTCTACGTAGAGTTCATTTGAGTTATTCTAGCTTCCGGACAGACTGACTTATTTCGTCTTCTTGAGTCACATTTTGACATTATCAGTTATTCGCTCACTAACCTTGACTACTTTTTATATGAGTATATGTGTGTTAATCGCTTATTCCACTCATCACATGTCCTTGGCTTATTTTTGTCTGGGTATAAATATTGAGTCACGCTTGAACCGAACGGAAGATCCAATAGACTCCAAATTTCGAGATCTACAGACAAACTTTCGTAAGGATCGATCATGTGAAGACTAAGTCACGACATTTTAGATGATTGTTGTACAGTCGATTGAATGGAGCTTATCACTATACATCAGCTCCCTTGATTATGGCAAAAAATTAATAGTGTGAATGGAAAAACTTTGTGGGATCGTCTTCGATACCCTAGAGTAAGTGAGAAGGTAGTCATCGTCACACGAAATTCGCTGAGCTGAAACTTGACCGATTGTCACTACTATCAATAAAAGCACGGGTATTTATAAACAATTGTCTACACAAGATATTTCAGATCTATTTGTCATAGACTTAGTAATGACTTACTCTGTCAAAGAACAAACCAGCTGCTAGCTGACGAAATTAGGAAAAGATGTCAACAGTGAATAGGACACTTTACAGAAATCATCAAACTACATCACAAAACAAGCCGTAACTTGTAATTTTCAAAGTAAAATGGAAAGAGGCAGATCAAAGGACGTGGTCCTGAAAGTTGAACGCAGACATTGAAAGAACAAATAGTACTTGGCAACAAATGGAGAGGAAAGAACAGAACAGAGATGGTTGGAGATTTCTAGTCGATGGCTTATGCCGCAGAAAGGGTAACTGACTCAAGTGCATAATTTACTTGCTGTTGGTATTAAGGGAGAAGTTGAGTTTTATATTTGTCGCCATTTATCTGTTATATATAAAAGTCTTCTTAATTTTAAGTGAATATCATTTCTTTATAATTAACAAATGTGGATTGTTGTCATATGACTAAATGTTATACAAACGTCTCAGCATCATATTAGTCTACGTTGTTATCCGTGCTATCCGCTAATAAACTGTGATCGTCACTTCTGAATAACTTCTGATTTCAACCATCGTTTGGATTTATGTATTAATGGTTACAAAAGTGACTGATTAACAAAGCAAAGCCACTACATTATAACACTGAGTTCATACATATGAAGAGATTAGAAGTGAAATAAAGGTATTAAGCTAAAATATTTTGTTTAATACTTGTATTTACACCTAATTATTGTTAATTATTTTGTGTATTAACTTTTTTTTTGACATTATTTCGTAGTAGTAGTAGTGGTAGTAGTATTCATATCAGTTCACATTTTATTGATTGACACTAATTGAAAAGTACATTTTCTCTCAATTATTAGGATTAGATACTAAAATTTATACAATTCTGTAAAACTTATTTCATATTTCTTTAAAGTTTATTA